AAAAAAAATGTATATATTTTAATATATACAACAAATAATATCAAAAGACATAAGCGACATATTTATCCTTTTTAAAATTTTAAGTTACAACCAATTATATGTATCTTGATTGTTATATAAATGTTTTTAACAAAAACAACGGTTTTGTATTTTTTTATTCGTGTAAAAGCCTTGTACACATTAATTTTTGAATCCATTTTTTACCATTTTTTTTTCCCACTAAATTAAAATTTTCCACACATTGAATAGAGTGTTTTATTTAATATACTACACACTTTTCTTCTAAATGTAAATTTTTCAATTCAGAAGGTATTATACTTTGTGCAAAAAATTTGTGAGAACAAAATTTACATATTGTGATAATTACATGTTGATTTTCTCATTATAACGGCTATATAAAATGCTAAATACTTTTAGCCGTACGTAACTCTTTATATAATTTTCATTTCTATCCGTGTGTACACCCTGAACATATAAGGCTTTAGTAAGTTTCATTAATTTTTCTAAATGCAAAAAAAGATTATTTCCCTTAAAAGTTACCTTGACATGCTTGTGTACATTTCCATCTAAGTACAAAAACGTGCCCTCCTTCATAACAACCTTGCTATTGTTTGGCGTTGTATATATATTTCTATATCATGCCCCTAATTTACTGAAATTCTACATTTCAATTTTGTTAACATAGATATAATCCTATTTTCTGTATATTCAAATATTTCATATTTTTATTAAATCCCTTTTTTTCAAAATATGCGTCCCTTGGTTCGTCATTTTTAGTCTTAATATATGTGATCTTTACACAATTATTCAAAATGATGCTCAATTAAAACGCTTGTTATGTTTGTTCCATGTGTAAAAGAAAGAGAAGAACCTTTATAACGGTGTTTAATTTCAATTATTTCTTAATAGACTGATGTGCACGATATTTTTTCTTATTTTTAAGGGTTTATTTATTGAGAAGAGTACGATACACTATATGAGCCATCACTTGAACTAGAAGATAAAGATTCATCACTATCAGATAACAATAAAATGTCTTCATAATCAATGTAAGGTCGAAATTTTTTCCTAAACTTTGCTCGAGTGCGTAATATGGATCGTCCAAATGGGGTAAACTAACAAAAGAATTATAAATAAAATGTTATATATAAAATATTTTAATTATACATATATATATATATAATAAAAATAATGCATAGCCATAGTTAAGATTCCGAAATGCTCTCATTTTCACATCGAACTTTTATGCTTACCTTAAAAAAAATATAAAAAAGCAAAATTATCCCAAGAAACAAAAGCACATGTGGAAAGATTTTTTCATATACAAAAACAATCCTTTTCCATGTATAATATAATATCAAGCTATCGTTATTACTATTCATATATAAAGCACTTCCAGGTGCAGCATCATCGGCTTTAGCTGAGACTAAGCTTTTTTCCAATTCTTCTCTTCCAATTTTCTCCATTAATTCTTTATATAAGCTATCATTTCGTTTAATTTTTTCCTTTGCTCTTACAAATACTCTGTATACTTTATTTAAACATGGGTACGAAGAATAAAAAAGAGTAATCCAGGGACTTAATTGGAGAGAAATTGTTGCCGGACGATATTTCATGTACTTATCGATGTATCTTTTACAAGCATAATCATCTACAGTGCAAGAGTCTCTCCAAGTGTAGTATACAGGGATTCTTTGGTCAAGATATTCATGGTATTTATCACATGCTTTATAAGTGTCTTGAATAATTTCCTTTTTCATTGTTTCATAGTCTTCAAAAAAATCAAACAAATCTTTAACTTCTTGCAAATAAGCCATGTTATTATATAATTTAAAATCCGGATAGCACTTATGTTCCTTATCACTAAACTTTCCATCGACAATACTTTTCCATGCCTCTAGAATTTTAGGAACAATAGTTGTTAGTTTCCTAACCTTTTCGCTAGATTCAAGATTTTTAAATACTTCATCGTGTAACCAGTAATTTAAATCAAAACAGTGTTTCTTATCGAACTCCTTCTTAGGGTCGTATTCATTGTTTATCATGGATATGTTTCTACTCAGCTTCTTAAATATGTCAGTAAGCCATGAATATTGGTTAGTCAAATCACTCAACCCACTGTAATACTCACTATAATCGTAGCTATCCGTATCTTCCTTCAATCCTTTGTAATATATAGTTGAAGGGTGGTCTTCAAAATCAATTCTAGGCTAAAAATTATAAAACAAGAATATATATATGTATATATATAATTATATAAATATTTATTTCGGTTATGTAAGAATGCATTGTTCTTCTTAATGACAAATCTCACATTCAAATATAATGTGTATTAAAAGATGTGTAACAAAAATAATGAATGTGTACTGGTTCTTCTTGTTCCACGGGTGGACTCTTTTGACTTAATTGAGATCCAGTTGTCATTATTTAAAATAGTAGTAAACAGGTATGTTTAATAAATAAGATTTTACACTATATATTTAAATCCATTATTTGTTCATGTGTAAACGATTTCTTTTTATTATTAATTTTATAATCATTATGAGAGCATCTAAACGTGAAATGAAGCGACGTTGTACTAATGAATGTTTTTCTAAATAACTCAATTTTTATAAATTCTAAGTTGTTAATTATGTTAAAGCAAAAATATGTGTTTAGCCATTTATCAATAAAACTTATAAAAACGTAAATATTAAAAACAACAAGAAAAAAGAAAATCACACCTTAAAACAGCAATTTACCGTTTATTATAAATTTTACTGTAAAGGCATTTCTTAAACAACTGTAATATTTAAAATATATATATAAATAATACGTTCCTACATACATAGTCATAACGGCTGATCTCCATATTTTATGTATGAATATAGAAAAAGTGATTAATATATTTTTCAATAAAATTTTTTTTTTATTATGTGTAAATATAACTAGTTGTAACACTTTAAAATATACAAAATAAACATTAAGTCCATGCATTAAAAACATAATTATATTAGATGTGTAAAAAAAAAAAAAATCTTAAAAACTTATTTCACATTATAACACAATGATGATAATCTATGAATTTCGCAGTTGGTTTGTTAATACAATGATATATACCTTTTTTTTTTTTTATCTATCACCTGCAAAAATAATAAAAGCATATATATTTTTAATATAAATCGAAACGATATAAAATCCTTGTGTTCAATATAAAGAAGTTCGTATACTAGCATTTTAGATAGAGCACGTATTTTAACTGAAGTGCTTTGTTTTAATGAAAATATTCTTTTATATTTTTGCACTATGAAAAGTAGTAAATATGTATATCATATAAAAATTACTTACGTTTTATAGTTATATCTATAACATTCCTCATTTTTTGTGTATTAACATAAATAGTAAAAATAATGGCAAAATTATGATATTTTTATCTTTCCCGTAATTTATATAATCCGCATAAAGGGCAATATATTTAGAACTATTACTGTTTTTTATTATATCCAAAATGTAATTAGGTTTTGTGAATTTATATTTTCTTAAGAATTCTTTTTTTTTTTTTTTCCTTTTTACGATATCTATATTCAATTTTCATTAGTATTACACATTCTATATTTCTACACATTAATAGGGGAAATTATTAATCTTTTAAACTGTTTCTGATGTCGTTTGTAATTGATATATGAATTCTTTTTCTTATTATTATATTTTTTATTCCTGCAGCGAAATAATTTATGTATTTCATTTTTGAATTAAAGAAATGCTTTTATAATAATTAATATATAATCTTAAAATTTAGACAACAAAAAATAGTGTAATGAAACATATTCTTCTTTAATAAAAGGTCTAAGCATTATACACCAAATTAAAAAAAAAAAAAAAAAATTAAAATTAGTGTAATTATAGTAAATGTGTATACACTTCACTGAAAAGAAAAAGGGAAAAAAATAATTTATTTTATCATTGGAATATATATTATTGTGATTTTTTTCTTTGAATGTGTTACATAAACACGTAAGTTATTCTTTAACACAAAAATTTTAATGCGATTTCTTATTGTGTTTATAAACGTTTCCTTTGCCACAAAGAATACAGACAAATATTTGTGTGTAGAAAATATTTTTCCTTCATTTATATAAGGATAGCTAAAATATTTCCCAAATGTTTATAAAACTTCCCATTTAACAAATTTATGCAATTGTTAAAATGTGTTTAAACTGATATATGAAATTTATAAATATATAAAATCGTACCACTTTCCACATTAATAATATGTTTCGAAACAATCTGAGGAATGTTATATTTTTCTTAAATTATTGGTGACCCACTATTATAATTTTCTTAATTTTTCTAAAATAAATGAAGTCTCGGTGAATCGTCAAATAGGGTACTATTATGTGTTACTTTTAAGCACAATGATGCTACACTTCGTAACAGTTTTCTTCAAAAATTAAGCGTGTGTAAAAAATATATTTCTGCAATTTAATTTCCACAATTTAGGTTCCTTCTAAATTTTTATATAAAAAATTAATTTTATTATATATATATATATGCGTGCATGTGTGTGTGTTTTTTTCTCTTTTTATCGCAGAAATATGAGTAGACTAAATAATTTTTATAAACATTTTTGATTGCAAAAAATTCATAGCATAGATTTTTTTTTTTTTTAATTTCTTAGTTTTAATAGTATTAAAGTGTAATTCAATACATGTTACTTCTTATATGAACTGTGATATATGCAACAATAAAAGTGTATTTTTTATGGAATTCTATTATGATGTTTTAAAGTGAAAAACATTTTTTTAGTGTGCACAGAATTAAAAAGATATTTCTTTAATAGTCCATATTACTTATTTATGAAAAGGCCATTTTACATGCATGTATGATATAAATATTAATTAAAAAGTTTTTCTTACTTAAATTATAAATCATTATTGTAACATTTAGTTATCATGTAATCACGATTTCCATCATTACGAATACTAATTGGAAAAAAAAATATTTTATTTAAAACTTTTTAACGTTCTTAAATAGGAATAACTCCCATAAAAAAAAAAAAAAAA